CAGGGCAGACAGTGAGCATACCCACAGACCTTTATGCTCTGTGTCCACCCGTGATACATGTCTGAAGAAAAGAGAGCAGAGAGACCAGGAACAGTGGGCTGGGGTGCAGTGGGCAGGCATTAGAAGGGCTGGGTTGGCCTTTATGCCAAGTCCTGGATAAAGAGCAAGGGAGAGCAAGGGGCATATGCCTGGGGACTCATGTCCTGGGCAAAGAGACCAACCAGTGTATCTGGAGGGGATGTGAACTTGACATTTTTGAAGAACCCCAAGAAAGCCCAGGCAGCTAGGGTGATGAATGAGACAGAGTCTGGTAGGAAGTGAGGGCAGAAGTCAGGCAGAGCCAGGTCACTTGGGTCTCCCAGGCCCTGGATACGACTGGGGTTTTATTTGATAGACATGGGAGACAACCAAGGCTGACATGAGCTGACATGTTTTACAAAGATCACTTTTTGCCATGTGGAAAACAGGCAGTGTCCCTGGAGGAAGAGGGGACCCAGTAGGAAGTTCGGTGAGTAACCCAGGTGAGAGATATTGGTGGTTAGACAAGGTGTTCAAGGGAGAGTTAACAGTGATGAGAAGGTGCTGTGGGTTTTTTAGACAGAGTTGGGGAGCAGGAAGGGGAGTCGGGTTTGTGAGCTAGAAGATTGGGGAACAATGGAGCCAATGTCTGAGGCAGGAAAGACAAAGGAGGGGTGGGTCTCGGGCAGGCAGAGACTAGCTCTGCTAAACTGGAGATGCCGATTAGACATCGGGATGCCAGGAAGCATCTACTCATGAGATAATTTTACCCACCCTGGTGGACACAGGGGTTGCCCTCCAACCACTCCGCCAAGGTCACTAGCTAGCTGGTTGCCTTGTGGCTGCCCTGTAACACTGCCCAGAACGTAAACAACAATCACAGTCTCATCCTGGTACAGCACCTGAAAAACTATAAAATACTTTCTCACGGTTTCTCTCGCTCAGTCTCCCAATGAACCCAAAGAACCCTGGTCTTTAACTGGGAGATGAGGGACCTGCTGCTCAGAGACGTCGGATGGAGTTCCAAGGTTGGGACCCCACAGGCATGCTGTGCTTTCCACGGCCCCGTAAGCGTTAGTGGTTCAGTCGTGTCCGACTCTTTTGCGGTCCTGTAGGCTGTAGCCCGCCAGGCTCCTCTATCCATGGGCTTTCCCGGGTAAGAATATTAGAGTGGGTTGCCATGCCCTTCTCCAGGGGATCCTCCCAACACAGGGGTCGAACCCGGGTCTCCTACACTGCAGGCAGCTTCTTCACCATCTGAGCCACTAACAAAATCCACTCGGCAGGTGTGCCCTGAGTGCTGGGTTTGGGAGATGTTGAGCTCTTCACAATCCAATACAAACAATGTCACAGCCACGTTCCCCAGCAGGGCCTCCTGCAGATCGGGGGTCATGTGTGTTCTGGCACAAGCGCTTTTTCTCAGAGGGCAAATTGTCCTTGGTTGGATGGAGACAAGAAAACCTAGCTCCCTGGTGGTTTTCATCACATCCTTTTCTAAAAGTGTTGGAAAGGACTATCTCTCAGTTATTTTGCGGGAATTTTTTCTAAGCCTTCAGACCAAAAGCCTTCCTCTGTGTTTTATTCCCCTTTCCTCCCTTTCAAATGCACAGACTCCTTGAGTCATTCGCCCAACCCTGAGGATGTCTGAACGCAACAATCACCAACCCTAGTATTGACCCCTCTTGGGGACATCTGACGTTCAAGGGCGAATCCAGTTGCTGGGAGCCAAAGGCAGCTTTCCAAGAGTGGAAGCCAGCCTTCCTCCAACTGCTGGTGGCTTTTCAGGAGTGGAAACCAGGCTTCCTTCACCTGGCATCAGCTGTCGGGGGAGGTTGCCCCCCGATCTTGGCCGTAGGAGATTGCTGGACACACCCCACCCCCACCACCTCCCCCACTCCCACCAGCTTGGTCTGGGGCTAACCCAGGATTTGTGTCTTCCAGGCCCTGCATCAAGCTGAGATAGAGGTGAGCGAGCATGGCTTAGCTGCGGACATAGCCATGCACACAGAAAATCTGCTGAAAGTTCCCATGAACACAAAGGAGGTCCCCGTGGTCGTGAAGGTCAACAGACCCTTCTTGCTATTTGTGGAGGATGAGATAACTCAAAGAGACCTCCTTGTGGGCAAAGTCCTCAACCCCCAAGTTGACTAGAGGCGGGGCCAGGCTGTGTGGCGCAGGAACTCAGCGGGCCATGAATAAAAAGAGTACAATTCACCAGCCGTGCGTCAGAGACCCTGAGACTGAGACGTGTGATCTGGGAATGGAGTGGGGATGGGTCTTCACTGGTGTCTGTCCAAGAACAGAGTGGCGTAAGACAGGGGCCAAGGGGGTCTGCCAGGGACATTTGGCCAGGATGTCTTCTATCCCCGAATAAGGCTAACATAGGCAGAGAAGCAATTCTGAGTGGTTGAGCAGGTGCGGGAGGGCTGTTTCAGTTGGGGGCTGTCTCACAGCCTTGCTTCCTGCCCAACTGGCAGTCGGAGCATGGCCCCTCATCTGTACTTTCCCCCGGCCCCCTGTCCCCTGCCCCCAAGAGCCCCAGGCAGAGGCAGGTCCCACTGCAGAGAGGAGGCTGGGAAGAGGACAGACCCCTGGGGGAGGGGGGGGCTTCCGTGTGTTCACCCAGCTCCAGGGAGAAATGGGGGTACCAGAGAGGCTGAAAGTCCCAAATATGTTGACAGGATCTTCTCCGTCCCTCATCTGGTTTCTTTTCATCTTTACACAAACCTTCTAGCAGTAGTAGTTGTCGTTCAGTTGCTAAGTCCAGTCCGACTCTTGCAATCCCACAGACTGTAGCCCACCAGGCTCCTCTGTCCATGGGATTCTCCAGGCAAGACTACTGGAGTGGGTTGCCATTTCCTTCTCCAGGGGATTGTCCCGACCCAGGGATTGAATCCGGGTCTCCTGCATTACAGACAGATTCTTTACCAACTGAACTAAAACAGCCTTCTATGAGAGAGTTATTATTGCCCCCTACCGCACAGAAAGTAAAAGTGATGTGGGAAAAAGAGGACAATCATGCACAGGATAGGGTGTGTGTGTGTGTGTGTGTGTGTGTGTGTGTGGCTGGGACTTGGGTATTACCCCGCTGGCTATGAACTGCCTTGGACATATAGAATCATGGAGTCTGATGGCAACCAGACATTTGACAAGTCAGGTCCAGAGGTGAAGGGCACAAAGACATTGGCCAAACAGGCTGACCCGATAGTGCTACCCATGCAGCTGGACCTTGCCTGGATGGGCCAGCTCAGCATAGCAGCCGGAGAAGACTAGGCCAGATGGTGAAATGAAACTCTTCTGGTAGAAATTCCAGGCTCAGTGCTGAAAACACAAGGCCAGGAGTGAGACGGGTGGACAAAGGTGGGGCAGGGGGCACTGACTCCTGAGCCATGTAATGACATGACCAAAACAGAGCCTCCTGGGGGCCACCAGGAGACCCAGGAACCTTGGCCTAGACAAGCGAGACCTGGGCCCCCTCAGAACATGAGAAGTCCCTCTGTGGTGGGATTTAGGACACAACCCAAGTATGCTCTTCTGGGGATGATGTGAGGCCAAAGGAACCCCATCCCCTACCGAAGGAGTCGTTTCAGGGCTAGAACTTTCATTCTTTTAACAAAGATGCCCAAGAAAAGGCTTTGCCATTTGCATTATCACTTAAATCCAAGCTACAAGAAAGGAGAGGCCTGGGAATGGGCCACAAGAGTACCTTGGAAAAGTGGTTCAGTAAAGCAGCTAATTCGAGAGAGGACCCCTGAGGTGGATTGTTCTAGAAAGTGTGGAGGAAGTGGAGTCAGAAGCATAAGCAAATGGAAGAAGGCCAGGAGACCCACGCTTGGGCATGGATCATATCCAAGCAGACGCATGGCAGAGGCAGAGAGGCAAGGTAGAGGATGTTGAGGGCCTGGTTCTGATCTTGGTGGCCCCGACCTGCCGTGGCTTGAAGCAGGGTTTCGGTTCCTGGTCAGAGACTGAGGTCAGGTTGCTGCAGGGAGAAAGCCAGTTCCTAATCTCTAGACCAGTGGTCAGTGACAAGGCCCTGGCCCCTTGGCTTTGCAGAAAAGAATTCCCATAAATACAGAAAGTACTGAAGCAATTACAGTGTTTACTTGGGAAAAGAGTACAGGACATGTAGACAGACATGGGTAGACTCAGAGAGAGAGAGAGAGAGTGGTGCCCTCATGGTAGTTTTAATCACTTATATGGGGCATTTCTTCTGGGTTTGCCTGGTTCTGAACCGTAGTTGGGCTTCCCTGATAGCTCAATTGGTAAAGAATCCGGCTGCAATGCAGGAGACCCCAGCTCGATTCCTGGGCTGGGAAGATGGGTCCTCTCATATGTACATGCGCATCTCTCAGTCAAGATGAGTTCCATTGAAGAGGCCTATGGGTAACTGGCATCACTTATTATGGGGTGGCGCCCCCTCCCTTTTTAACCTCCAAGGAGCTCTCCAGTCAGGAAGATTTTCTTGACTTTATGTGGTCCCTCATCTCTTACCTGGGCAAGGCCCAGCTTCCTCTCCTGATGGTCCTGCTATTGACATTTTGGAGTTTTGGAACTTGGATATTCCACAGGGAATAAACTCCATCTGCTTACCCTGGAGGAGGGGGGCATCTACCAAATGCCTCAGTTACATTTAGTAGAGGGTGTCCATGAAGGATTTGGTCAAGGTGTGCAGCATGATGGTTTGACTTACATATACTGTGGAATGATCACCACAGTAAGTTTAGTTAACATCTCCTATTCAGAGTGATTCATGAAGAACATGGTCCAGAAAACACAAAACACTGGTAATGGGTCAGCAGCTGCCACATCACGACCCCCTGATGTCACATTTATATGCGAATGTCTTCACTCACCAAGCCGGGTCCAGGATCTCAATTCACTCTGCAGGACAGGCCAGCAGGACGGAAACTGTAAAGAAAAGGTCACTTCCGGTCTTCATACCGGTTCTAGGAATTGACCTGACAAATATTAACTAGGCTGCCGTGATCGTCAAACACTATTTTCCTGTGGGTAGGAGGCGAGGCAGTGCTGAAGACCCAAGTCCCCCAGCCCAGGGACCTTGCTGTGAGTACCACGCTTGTGTCTGAAATGAAGGTGGGGGTGACAGCACTCTCTTTACCACCCCCGCCAGTCCCTCCTTCTCACTTGGGCAGAATAAATGGCAGAACTGTGTTCCCTAAAGGAAAAATGCAATGATGTACTGCATCTAAGTCTTGAAGCAGGAACTTCAGGTTTTAAACAACCTTTTATAAATAACTTGGCCTTTAAATTTCTTTTGAGAAACTCCCAGTATTTCTCACAGTTAGACAAGAAAACAGAGCAATACAACCCAAAGCGAAATGATCGCACAGTTGTAGTAACTTTATGGGACATTTTATTATATGAAATAGGGATGCTTCAGGGCCCTGGTCTGGAATTTGACCCATGCTCCTGCCACTTGTGTTTGTCTCAGCCCCGAGACTCAATTTCCCCATGGGTACAACAGTGATAATATTACCGAGGGCTTAGGTTCTCATAAGGATTCCCTGAAATGACATGAAGCAGTTTTCCTCCACTGGGGCACTGCTGACATGTGGGGCAGACCGGGCTTCCTGGCTTGCGTCTATTCTAGCATTTCCAGAGCTTTCTCTCTCCCTCTGCACTGCAGCTGCATCTCCTTCTCCAGGCTTTGAGATGATCCATCCCCGCCTTCGCACACATCCCTCCCACAGCATCTGAGAACAGGCTGGGAGCTAGTGATCCAATACAGCTAATATCTCCATCTCCACCACAAAAGAAACGATAAGTAGGGATGTTATACCTAATTCATGGGCTTCTTAATTTTCTTCTGAGATCTTGTGGGGAAAGGAATAAAGGAATAACTTTGGTGTAACTATATCCAGCCTCAGTAGAAAGGGGTGAAAATTAGCATTGCATGCTTCCTACATGCCAGGTGCTCTTTACATTATATTACGTCTCAAGATCCTTAAGCAACCCCACCCCCAGGAGGCAGGCATTGTCATTTGCATTTTGCAAATATCAACCAGCAGTTAGGAAAGCTTCCTTAACACAGTGTCACCCGATGATTTAACTACAGAGCCTTGACTCAAACCCAGGCCTTCTGACTTACAGTTCAGTCCTTTGTGAAATAGATACTCTGCAGGTCTGGGTGTCCTCGGGGTGCAATAAGTAGAAAGTGGTGGTGAGTCCACTGGGATAAAAAGAATAAACTGGAAAAAGTTAAAAAAAAAAAAAGAATAAACTGGAAAAAGTTTTATTACAGCTGTATTTCTAATTTTCTCCAGGGGCAGTCCAATTTTTAAGTTGTTCTGTTTCTCAATATGAATGAGAATCATTACTAAGTGGGCCTGTTCAGTTCAATTCAGTTCAGTCACTCAGTCGTGTCCGACTCTGCGACCCCATGGACCACAGCATGCCAGGCCTCCCTGTCCATCACCAACTCCCGGGGATTACTCAAACTCATGTCCGTTGAGTAGGTGATGCCATGTACTGAGCTGCAGTGGAGGGATTAGGACGTGTCCTTGGGGATCTGCCTGCAGTACTTTGACCAGCAAACGTGTTTCGACATAATCGATAATGAAGCTACATTCCTCCCTCCCAACAACTGGCCTTGGGGATTTAAAGGGATTCCCAGGGCACCAGGTGCTATAAACCATCTGCAAAAATATGTAAATGGTCCAGAGATCATTGGTTTGGGTGAAAGGCATTAAAGGTGCTGATTAACAACTTACTGACCAGAGATACATCTTTTGTTACTGGAACGTTATTGACCGAGTCACTTCAATATTCACTTACATAACAAAACACCAGCCACAGGATTTGGTTTTTGCAAAATCCCCTAGTCAGTAGTGTGTTAAGACATAAAATGCATCAGGAGAGACAAACGAGGATGGGGTGGTGAGCTGTGGATGGCCGCTGAGGCATGGAACAACAGAAGGGTCGGTCTTGGAAGGAGCAAGGGGCCGAGACTCTTTACAGAGGACAGCAAGTGGGGGTGGGGGCCTGAGTGCAAGCTCTGTGTCGATGTGGGGACCCATGTGTGATGAGCCTTCACCCCGAGCTGGCGCTGCACTTCTCACCCCGAAGCACTTTGACCCTCTAGGGGTGGCATGAAGGCTCTTCTGGCCACTTCATATTAATGGAGTGATATATTAATGGTATTATGATATATGGATGATATTGATGGAGTCATATTAACAAGCTCCTTAAAGCACAGGAGCTATTGTATATGTTTCCTAGGCTGTATTAACAACCTTCCACAAACTGGGTGGCTTACACAACAGAAACGGATTCTCATAGTTCTGAGGATGAGAAATCCAAGATCGAGGTGTCGGCAAGGCTAGGTCCTGAGGCTCCAAGATGGGAGTCTGCTCCAAGCCGCTCTCTCTGCTCCTGTAAACTTAGGTATTCCTTAGCTTGTAGAATCATCACCCTGATTGATCTCTGCCTTCATCCTTACATCGCCTTCTCCCTGTGTGTTCCTGTGCCCAATTCCCCTCTTTATAAGGACATCAGTCATATAGATTAGGGGCCATGCAACCTCATATTAGAGCTTCAGAGACATAAGAGACGTGGGTTCCATCCCTGGGTCAGAAAGATTCCCCTGGAGGAGGACATGGCAACCCACTCTAGTGTTCTTGCCTGGGGAATCCCATGGACAGAGGAGCCTGGCGGGCTACAGCCTGCAGGGTTGCAAAGAGTCGGACACGACTGAAGCTGCTTAGCCTGAATGCACACAACCTCATGTTAACTAATTACAACTCAATGAGTCTACTTCCCAACAAGACCACGTTCTGATATGCTGAGGATTAGGACTTCAGTATTTGAATTTGTGGGTGGGAGATTCAATTCAGCAGATATCTCTCCCAAACCTCTCCACCAGTTAAGATACAGGTTTCAGCCCCTGCAAGTGACAAGAGCTACGGGAGATAACAGAGATGGAGTAAATCTCTCTCCTCTCCCTCCACCCCCAGGCTCCATTCATCCCGTGGCTTTGCCACCCCTCATGGGCTGCCCTCACCCATAAGGTCTCTGAGGCCGATCGTCGCATCCACACTCCAGCTCATAGAGACCAAAAGAGCAGAGGGCATGCCTCCTTCTGGGAGAGCCTGGCCAGGAGGTCCATGAAGCGACTTACCCCCTCCACTTGGCAAGATGTTAGTTAAAGGCCACACCCAAGTGCAGGGGAGGCCAGCAGCACTCGTGTCATAGTGTCCTGACTTTTTTCCCATACTATTGAGGGTCTCTCCAGTCTTTGAAAGTTAACAAATTATTGAAAGAGTGACTAGATAGTAGAAAGAAAAAGGAAGGAAGGGAAGGAAGGAAGAAGGAAGGGAGGCAGGGAGGAGGAAGGCAAGGGGAAAAGACCATGGAAGATGTTGGAGTTTATTTTGGGGAGGAGGGGGTTTAATCGTTCAGAAAAAGCAACAAAATATTATAGATGAATCGATATATAAAGCTGAGAAGGGGCTCCTGCTGTGACCTGGGGGAAGGTGTCTGGAGTCAGCTTGCTCACCCCCTCCTCACCCTCCGCAGCGCCCCACTTGACATCTCTGTGGGATCCAGCCTGGATGTGGTGTACTGTGTAAACACGAGGCTGTTTATGAAGGATGATGTGTTCCCCATCTTGTTTTCAGAGGATGGGGCCAGCATGGCTGTGGCTGCTGGGAGCTGGGATCCTGGTCTCTGTCCACTGTCAGCCCTTTCCTGCCCGTGGAGATAAGAGCCTGAGGGTGCCTGAAGCCAGCCATGGTCAGCTCTCAGAGACCCTCCCTGCCTACCAGAAAATCACACCCACCCTTACCAGCTTCGCTTTGCGTCTGTACAAGCAGCTGGCAGCAGAAACCCCAGGAAACATCTTCTTCTCCCCAGTGAGCATCTCCAGCACCCTGGCCCTGCTCTCTCTGGGAGCACAAGCTGATACCCGGACTCAGATCCTGGAGGGCCTTGGCTTCAATCTCACCGAGACCCCAGAAGCCGACATCCACCGGGGCTTCCAGAGCCTCATCCACACGCTTGACCTACCCAGCCCGAAACTGGAATTGAAACTCGGCAACTCTCTGTTCCTGGACATGCAGATGAAGCCTCAGCAGCACATTTTGGACAACATCAGGGAGCTGTATGGAGTTTTTGCCTTTTCTGCCAACTTCACAAACTCTGATGCAACTAGGAAGCAGATTAATGACTATGTGAGAAGGCAAACGTACGGGCAGGTCGTGGACTGCCTGGAGGAATTCACCCAAGACACGCTTATGGTTCTCTTGAATTATATGTTCTTTAAAGGTGAGGGCTGGCTCAAGCTCTTCCATTTCCAACCCTGCCCCTAAAAGGCACCTATCTAAAAGTCTATGGCTATATCTTCTGGAAGTTACCTCTACTGTATTTAAATACTGGTCTTATTTGTTTTTATTGTTGTTTAGTCACTAAGTCATGTCTGATTCTTGCCACACTATGGGCTGTAGCCCTCCAGGCGCTTCTGTCCTTGGGATATCCTAGGCAAGAATACTGGAGTAGGTTGTCATTTCCATCTCCAGTGGATCTTCCCAACCCAGGGATTGAACCTGCGTCTCCTGCATTGGCAGGTGAACTCTTAACCACTGAGCCACCAGAGAAGCCTTGATCTTATATCACTACTTCTTAATTTATCGATATTTAATTTCTTTTGCCATGTTTTTTCTGTTCTACTTTTACTCTGATTTTTTAAATACAATTTACAGTTAATCTTGCTTTTCTCTTAGTAATTCACTATTAGGGAAATATTTTATGTTTTATATCATTGCCTATTTCAAACCTACAGAAATTTGTAGAGAATGGCATAAAAACCACCATGTACCAAGAAGTAACACATACTAACATTTTGCCATTTGCTTCAGGTTTTTTTAAAAGCAATATTGCAAATACATTCAATTCCTTCTTAATCCTCCCCTGGTCCCATTTTCTTCCTTCCATTCCTCCCTAAAGGCAACCAGCATCCTAGGGTTGGTGTGTGTTCCTCACATCCTTGGGTTCACACCAGTAGTGTCTGAGTCTAAATCATCATGGGTTCTCCTGAGTCTGACACAGGTTTAAGGATGTGTTCAGGTTAAGGACATTTGCTGAATGAATGATTTTCAAGGTAAACCTTGGCTTTATGTTTAAGGCCTCTAGGAATGTTATTCATTCATTCAAAAGCATACATTAAGTACTAACTATATCACACAGAACCTTGATTACCTTTTGGGGAAATCTGCTGGGTACAAAGTTTCAATCCCTGGGTTGGGAAGATTCCCTGGAGAATGAAATGGTAAGCCACTCCAATATTCTCGCCTGGGAAATCCCATCTACAGAGAAGCTTAGTGGGTTACAGTCCATAGGGTCACAAAAAGTTGGACACGACTTGGCGACTACAGAATAACAATATGAATACGACAGAGTTTTCTCATTTTTGTGTAGCCCACAGACCCATGTGAGTTGTAAGTAAAAACACAACTACAACTCAGTGGGAAAGTGATACTCTTCTGGGTAGATGTGGTTGTCCTGGAGTTCTTGGAAGATGCAACTTTCCAGATTCAAAGAGTGAAGGAAGGCTTCCTGGTAGAGAAGGCATCTAAGCTGAGACACACAGGATGAGTTAGACTTACCCAGGCAAAGAGGCTATGGGAAAAATGAATGGAAGAGGGTTCAGCTTGAAATATACTGTGTGCAAAGGTCCAAGGAAAAGAGTTACCATTGCATTTCCAAGAAAGAAGCAAATTTAATTAGACTGGTGCAAGTTTAGTCTGGCTACAATCTGGGAAATGATTTGGAGGAGAATAAGGGTAGAACAAATACAAGTCAGGAGGTTCCTGAAATGGTTCAAAGTCAGATGGTGGCCTCAAATAAAGTGATGACTTTGGAGACAGAATCAGCAATACTTGGTCATGGATTGAGGGGTGGGCATGAGGAACAGGGTGAGCCAGCCCCCTCCCCCATCACCAAGACCAGTGTTTTCAGGAGGTCACGTCAGGAGATGATTGTGGGTAGAGATGGTAAGTAGAAAGAAAGAAAGTACTGCACATGTGGCCAGGACTGTGAGAGATGCTGCGTCTCTAACCAGTGTGGCTGAGTGTATGTCTGCCCAGGCTAGCCCTCTTAGAATATCTTCTCATGGTTTTGTGGGTTTTGTGTCCTAAGCCAAGTGGAAGCATCCTTTTGATCGTTACCAGACCCGGAAGCAAGAGAGCTTCTTTGTGGATGGGAGGACCTCTCTCCGCATCCCCATGATGCACCAGAAGGCAATGCACAGGTTCCTGTATGACCAGGAGGTGGCCTGCACCGTCCTGCAGCTGGAATACAGCGGGAGTGCTCAGGCCCTGTTGATCCTCCCTGACCCGGGGAAGATGGCACAGGTGGAGGCCACGCTGCAGCCAGAGACCCTGAAGAAATGGGATGAATTGCTCCTCCCCAGGTAAGTGCCAGAGCGGAAGGACTCTGGCTGACTTTGTGTGACAAACCAGCAGGTCTTGATCAACTCCAGTCGCAAGATCCTAAGCCCTAGCTTGGCTCTCTGCACTGCCAGTTAACCAACTATGTGATCTTGGGCAATTCTTGACATGTGGGTCTCAGTTCTTAGTTGCTCAGTCGTGTCAGACTCTTTGTGACCCCATGGACTGTAGCCCACCGGGCTCCTCTGTCCATGGAATTCTCTGGGCAAGAATACTGGAGTGGGTTGCCATGCCCTTCTCCAAGATGTGGGTCTCAAATTTTCTCAAATGTAAAATGGGGCCATTATAACCACCACACTGGGTTGCTTGGAGGATTAATCAAGTTAATATGTAGAGAATATGAGAGTGGTACCTGGTGCAGGAGAAGGGCTCACCAGGTATTAATCATGTTTACCCCCTTCTGGACATCTTTCTGCTTTTCTTCTTGTCTTTTTCTCTGGATAATAATTTACTATCAGAAGACAGCTAAGTGTACGTAACAAATCAGATCAAGGACAATTATCCAATATTAAGAATAATTATGATTCACAGAACAGTGGGTATTTCTTAAGAGTGCCTCTTTTTTAGTTAAAACATTCCTTAAAGAAGCTAAATACCAAGAAGAACATTGTAAAAATAAAAATGCTGATTGCCAGTTTGGGGGAACTCTGTTTAACCCTTTCTATCTCACTTGCTTTTTGGTTTGTGGTTTTTCTCATAGTGGTTTTAGGCTTTTCTGGTTTCCCTAGACTGCATACTCCAACTAACCCATTCTTGATATGTTTCTTCCTTTATGGGGTACTCTGGATAAAATCTGGCCTCAAGTTCTAATTACCTCTTGCTGCATAACAATCCACCCCCAATAGAATAACTTGAAAAACAGCCATCTAGGATCTCTCTGGATTGTGCAGGACTGGGTTCAGCTGGGCGGTTGTCACTTGGGTCTCTCGTGGATGGAGTCAGATAGTGGCCCAAAGTGGAGCACTGAAGTGTCTTCCACTTGGATGTCTAGACCCTGGGCTGGCTGGCTGGCTGAGCTAAGAGCTTAGCAGGCATCTCTCTCTCTCCAGGCAGCATCTCCATGCGGCTAGCCTGGGCTTCTGCACAGCAGCTCGGCACAGTTGATATTGTTATATGACAGCTCAAGAATCCAAGAGGGAGCATTCTGAAAGGCAGGAAGTGAAGGCTCCCACTCTTTTAAGGCCTGGGCTCAGAAGTTAGCCAATGTCATTTCTGCCATATTCTATTGGTCAGAACATTCACTGGTTTCAAAGGGATGAGGTATAGACTAAACCTCTTAAATCTACCATCACTACTTGATAGGTGTCAGTCACCCTCATCCACATGGGAGCCTTCTCACAGCAGCCCAGTGGCACAGGTTCCAAGGATAGAGAAACGGTGTTTTGTGTTTGGGTAGAGATTCAAGTACCAAATAAAAGAGATACAGGTCATGGACAGAGGCCAGGATTTAAAGTATTATTCCTGTTGTTCGTGAATCTACACAGCTCTGGTCAGTTTGATTCCAGCGCCATATTCTCAAGCTCTCTTGGGATGAACCTGCCCTTTCCCCCATCACAGAAGGAAGTACCATAGAATCTTCTAGACCAGTAGATTTTTTTTTTCTTAAGAAGTGTCTGTTTTGACCTTCCACTTTGACCTTCAAAAATCAAAACCAACCTAGGTTATTTATCTTAACCTCAGTTGTTCCCTGATACCATTTGTTATGCCAGAGAGTTACAATATCATGATAGCATTTGAATGGGCTTCCAGACATGGAAAATTCAAGCTTCCAGGTTCCCCTTTATTCAGCTATGAGAAAGGCTAGTCTGCCCACGGGAATTGTGCTTTCTGATAATTCCATTTTTTACTTACCTTGATTAAACACCTACTCTTATGTTGGGCTCTCTAAAAGCCACACTCAGCTAGGCTATACTCAAACCCTGCTCTGTGGCAGGACCTGCCCTCCAAATGCTGCCTGTGAAAATTGTGTCTGGTTGGCTCAAAAATTGGCCAATGTAGTTTCTACCATACTCTATTGCTTTCTGTCCTCCACATTTGTTTCCTTTTTATCACTGTCCAACCCCTAACTTCCCACTACCTCCCACTTCAGTTAGACATCTGTACCCTCATATTGGCCCAGGAGTTAAACCAGTAAAAAATAATCTGAATTAGCATCTCTAATTTGAATTTATTCAAGGCACAATTTTCCAAGCTGGCTGTAACTAAACCAAGCTTGCAGGTGTCATGACAACTGTCAAACAATGATTTCAGAGATGAATAATCCCAGGAATAAAGGGACAGAATTCTCTGAGTCAAAGGAAACTTGTGAATATAACACTAGGAATAAGACAATCTGATGGCGAAGGCATGGCCGTAACAGGAGAGAGAATTACTCTGGATTCATGATGTCACTTTACATGCAAGGAATCTCATCAGATCTTCAACAGCCCCTGAAGTTCAGATAGATGAGAGATGGTGTAACTTTATTAGGGGTTTGCCAATAGATGGGTTTAGGATATAGTTCAGAAACTGAGCCAACAGAACTTGCTAATAAATCAGATATGGAGGTGGGGCAATGTTAACAGCATTTACTTTCCACGGTTACTATGTGACTTCAATCAGCAAAGCCTTGGAAACCTAACCCAATGTCCAGCACCTAGAAAATCCTCCAGAAATGTGACGAAGATGAAGACCTATAGCTGTGCCAGGAGTCTTCTTAGATCCAGACAAGATACTCTGTGTGGTCTGAAGACAAGGGAGTTCTGGATTGTGGGATGTTCTGGCATAGTAGGTGCTATCATGAGAAGCCTGGTTCCCCCACCCTGGGGAGCATGTTTCCCTCCCAAAGCTCAGGCTGCCCACACGCAGGGCAAGAGCAGCATGTATAATGAGATAGTGGCTCTTCTCCGTCTGATTCTCTCCCCAGCCTGCTGGATTTGCACCTGCCTAAGTTTTCCATTTCTGGAACATATAACCTGGAAGAGATACTTCCTCATATTGGTCTCACCAGCTTATTCCACTCAGAAGCTGACTACTCAGGAATTACCGGGCAGCTCAACAGAACAATCTCCAGGGTAAGGTGGTGTATGTGGATGTGCGTGTTGGCTGGGAGGGGAAGGTATTTTCTCCTTTGACATAAGGTTCACTTGAAAGTCGAGTGCGCCTTTTTTTCTTTTCTGGTTCCTCAGTATCACAATCTTTAAGTCTTCTTTTCACTGGCAGCTCCCTTTTTACTCTCCTTTCTTCTAGACTTCTGTTTTTCAAAGAAAGAACAGAGTCTTGAATAGAGTAGACGCCCATCCATGGAGCCAGAATTTCCCCAGGGGTGGGACCAGCCTTCTTTTTATCCTTTAAACTTCCTCCAAAGGCAGGCAGTGAGATTCTGTCTGCCTTTGTTAGAACTGTAGAGAGTAGTGGGCATGAACAGGAAGTGTATCCATCAGCTTTGCTGTAGGAACAAACAACCCACAAATTTCAGTGTCTTCTTCTAACAGAGGTTTATTACCTGTCCATGTGACATATCAGAGGTGTATCACTACATCTTGCTACAAATCGACTTGGCATATCTTCTTCATTCTAGAATGTAGGTTAAAAGAATGTAGGCTTCTATGTGGGACATGCCATTCTCATTGCATTGGAGGAAAAAACAGAGAAAATATGCAATGTCTCTTAATACTTCTCCTCACTCATGGCCTCAGTCAAGGCCACTCATCTGTCATTGACTAAGATGAACCCCACAGTTAAGACAGCCATCAGTGGGGTGGGCTCATGTTCTCTTGCAGGAGGCACTGCAGGCCACAGGCATGGGCGGGGGCTGATGACAGCCTACAGGAAGGGAGAGTTCGTATTTAAGAAGAAGAATGCAATTTTCCATAAGAGGGAAGACCAAAAAGACCCTTCTGTTCTTCTATTACCTTCCTAAGGTAGAGTCATTATCAGTTTATTCTTTGCTAGGAATTTCATAAAGAAAGTGTACTGTCTTCAGTTTTGGAAAGAGCAGCTGAGATTTGGAACAAGAAACTAGGGAATAGGGACAGGATTTTGAGTGTGTGTGTGTGTGTGTGTGTGTGTGTGTGTGTGTACCTGCCCACCATGGAGAGAGCAAACAAGAGGAAAAAGGAATAATTTAACCTTTTAAAGGATTTATTTTATGGTAACCTTCGTTGTTAGATTTATCTCTTTACAGATCTTTTTAGAAATGAAAGAGACTGTTAAGGCCAATATTTTCAAGTTAATTAAATTTAAAGCCTCAGAAACCTTCCTAAGGAGTTGTGTGAAAATGAGGCTTTAAGGGGCTTCCCAGGTGGCACTAGTGGTAAAGAACCTGCTTGCCAATGCAGGAGACATAAGAGATGTGAGTTCAGTTCCTGGGTTGGGAAGATGCCCTGGAGGAGAAAATGACAACACACTCCAGTATTGTTGCCTGAACAATCCCATGGACAGAGGAGCCTGGCAGGCTATAGTCCATAGGGTTGCAAAGAGTCTGACGTGACTTAGCATACAGGTACAAGGCTTTAAAAGAGCAGAATTTTTTTAAATTAATTAGTTTATTTTAATTGGAGGCTAGTTATTTTACAATATTGTGGTGGTTTTCACCATACATTGACATGACTCAGCCATGGGTGCACATATGTCCCCCCCATCCTGAAACTCCTACCCATCTCCCTCCCCATCTCCTCCCTCTGGGTGTCCCAGAGCACCAACTCTGAGCACCCTGCTTCATGCATCGAACTTGCACTGGTCATCTATTTTACATATGGTGATATACATGTTTCAAAGCTATTCTTTCAAATCATCCCACCCTCACCTTCTCCCACATAGTCCAAAAGTTTTCTTTACATCTTTACTAGCTTTCTAAATTCCATATATATGTATTAATATACTGTATTGGTGCTTCTCTTTCTGACTTACTTTATATAACAGGATCCAGTTTCATCCACCTCATTAGAACTGACACAAATGTATTCTTTTTTATAGCTGAGTAATATTCCATTGTGTATATGTACCACAACTCCCTTATCCATTCATCTGCTGATGGACATCTAGGTTGCTTCCATGTCCTAGCTATTGTCAACAGTGAAGAGTAGAATTCCTTCCATGGAGGCCAGTACAGGGCTTGGCACATCAGACAACCTGGTTTTGCTGAGCTCATTTTGGAAACCATTGACTTAGGCGGAGCAAGCCATTTCATGAGAAAACTGAGACTTCGTGAGAACAAGCACAGCTCATAGCAGAAAATGATTCTCCAGCCTGTGCTGCGTACACCCGAGCACTTGGGAAATGCTCCTAAAAGTGGCTGTTGGGTTTTTACAGACTGGTGCATGCTTGAGCAGGCCTCCCAGGTGGCGCAGTGGTAAAGAATCCACCTGCCAATGCAGAAGATACAGGATACATGGGTTCCATCCCTGGATCAGGAAGATCCCCTGGAGAAGGAAATGGCAACCCACTCCAATAATCTTGCCTGGAGAATCCCATGGACAGAAGATCCTGGCGGGCTACAGTCCTTGGGGTCAGACACGACTGAGCAAATATGCATGCTTGTGCAGCCTTCAACCCCGTTCAGGCCTATCTGTTTCTCTTTCAAAGAGCAAACAGCATGGCCAGGGTGACACCCCAGGAGACAATGGAGGTAGAGAAACCTGTGAAGGAAGGAAATGAAATAAAGGCAGGAGTTGCTTCCTGGGAGGGCAGGGCCTGAGTCGGGTAACTCCGCCTCCATTTCCTTCTGCCGCACAAGGTGGCCTCGGACCCCATAAAGCACCATGACTTCATGCTGTCTCTGCCCCCTGCTCTCCTTCTAGGTGTCACACAAGGCGACAGTGGACTTGAGTGAGCGGGGAACCGAGGCAGGCGTGGCCTCCGGCCTCCTCTCCCAGCCTCGGTCGCTGAAAGCGACGTCGGCCCCACACGCCCGTTTCAACCGGCCTTTCCTCCTGCTCCTTTGGGAGGTGACCACCGAGAGCCCACTCTTCCTGGGAAAAGTTGTCAACCCAGCTGCTGGGTGACCATCGTGGGAGGCCAGGGGGTGTCTTGTCCCCTTTTTAAAAAACAGGAGGGCCAGCACCAGCCTGCATCTCAGGGCTGCTGTGAGGACCAGTGAATCACTGTGCAAAGATGCTAATAAAGTTGACCCTGGGTTTTGTGAACAGTGAGGAGTGATGCCTACAGGACGGGGTTGAGCACCCACAGCAGGGGTCAGTCATTCACTCTACTGTCTCCTCCAATCTGGAGTCAGCTGTGGCTAGAAAGTCGGCGATGAGAACAGAATGGCCTCCCTGGAGTTGTCCACTGCTGCTGCCACCACTGCTGATCCTTCCTGAGTGTCCTATGGGCATAAGTCCTAGGAAAAGGCCCAAAAGACATCAGGAGGAGTAAGTGAATTTCTCACTGCTTGGTGACCCATCTTGGCTATATAGCAAAGTGATGTCAACCTGAAATATCATTGCCTGGATGTGAGAAGTTAGTTCACCTTGAGAGGAGATTGAAGCAGGGCAGGAGCTGTTAGCTATGTTCTATGAAAAGAAGGGGGTGCAAAGATGGGCCAATGAAATAAAATTCAGAAACAGAGGTCAAGTGTCCAAGGACAACTCCAGAGCAAAGAAAGTGGAAAAATCAGTATGGCCTGGGGAGACAGTGGGCTTATGGTGCAATCTTGATCAGTGGGATGAATTTGCATCTAAGTAATGATGCATCCTTTTGGGGGTCAGCAAGCCCACTCCCACAAGTGTGCCCCTCCAGTCTTAAAAAGGCATCTGTCTGGAAGTAGTGGGGAAACTCAGAAATGCCAACACAGCTCCATGTATGTACCATGCCTGTGACAATACATCCCCACAATGAAGTTGGTGCCTGGAGGGTGACTGTGGATGGTACATGTCTAGGAAGAAGTTGTACCAACAAAAGCAAGTGGTAGAACTCCCCCACCGTCTTCCCAAGGAGATAAGACTTGAATTGGATCTTGAAAGCCAGGGAAGTCTGAAATAAAGAGAAAGAGGGTAAGACAGTCTGGGAGAGGATGGAGGAGATACATTATGGGCAAAGACCACCAGAGAAAATGTATGTTCTGAAAAAAGAAGAGAAGACGAGCTTCATAGCAATAGAAGGCTTGTGTTGGATCACAGGGGAGAGTCATGCTAGAGAGGGATACGGAGTTAAATGTTGGAGGCTTTGGTTGCCAGGGTAAATGGTGTGGACTCTCTTTTGTTCACAGTGGGGAGTGACTGTACAACCGCCTAAGCAGATGTGGGTGTGGACGAAGCAGTGATTGGAGAATCCTGACAGGTGGGTGTGGATGAGACCAGGTGTGGTGAAGCCAGCGTGAGGGGTCAGCCAGAAAAGGCTTTGCACTAAGTCCAATCCCACCTCATGCCCTGTCCTGGCCCATCCCACCTCCTGCCTCCGCCAGGCCACCAGCACACATGACCCCATGTCCAACCAGCCCCCTTGGGCCCTCTGCACCCCTCTCCCCCTGCCCTGCCTGCCTATGTGGACCCTACTTCTCCTATTAGAAAGGAGGGGATCCCAGGAGGCCTGCCTCATGTCCTGGCAACCTGCCAAGCACAAAACCTCTCTGTTGCTTTGAACTAAAAACTGAATAAGAGTTAACCTTCAAAAGCTTGAAGAGCTGCCAAAATCCTCTTCAACAGTGGAATTGGCTCTTGAAGAAATAAAGAAAAAAAATTTTTTAAGTTAAAAAATTAAAGTGTGCAGGTAGGTGGCCATCACACAGGCTACATGCACCGCTTTGGAGACAAACATGTGTTCTGCCTCAACACTGATTTACTGAACACCTACTATGTGCTAAGTGCCAGGCACTGTTAGGCACTGAGAATAGGGTGGTGAAAAAAGCAGACAATAAGCCCTGCACTCATGGGGCTTGCATTCTAGTGGCGGAAATGAAACAGGTAAATAAAATAAGCAGTAGAGCAGAGGGTTCAACCTCCAGGATATAATGCCTTCTGATCTAAGGTGGAACCAACAATAATCCTAGAAGCAAAGTGCACAATAAATGTAATGTGCCTGAAAGCATCCCGGCACCACGAAACTTTGCCTTCCACAAAAGCAGTCCCTGGTACCAAAAAGGCTGGGGAGCTCTGCCCTAGAGAGAGACAGCAGTGAGGATGAGTTCTCTGTAGGTGCGAATGTGCCCAGGAAAGTGTACCTCTGATGCAGGTGACCCTTGATGGGGACTGAGCAGAGCACCCAGGGATGAAGTTGAATTTCAGCAGAATGTGTTGTGTGCTCCCTTTTATCCTTCCTACCAAGGGAAACTACAAGTGGGATCCAATCCTCTCTACTGGACAAGGGGCTCTGAATTGAGAGCAAGGCAGCCAGGGGTCTAGAAATATTTATTAACTCTCTGCTCCAGCCTAGGCATGGTGGTCACAGAACCACTGACCAATCTTTCAAGTCTCCCTCTGTGTCCAGCACCCACTGTGCATTCAATACTGTGGATTAAACAGCATTATAGAGTTGACAGATACCAATAAATTTAGTAGCTGCCCCCTGAAATCATGAGCAGTAGTTCTGCTCTGCCTCCCTCTTCCAGGTGGGGAAACTGAGGCATGGTTTGCTAGCCCATGGCAGAGCCTGGAGTTGAACCAGGCTGTCCAGCTCCGGAGCCCATATGCTTCACCTCTAGGGTACAACTCCTGGACTTCCCTGGTGGCTCAGATGGTAAAGCGTCTGCCTACAATGCGGGAGACCTGGGTTCGATCCCTGGGTCAGGAAGATCCCCTGGAGAAGGAAATGGCAACCCACTCCAGTACTCTTGCCTGGAAAATCCCATGGATGGAGGAGCCTGGTGGCCTACAGTCCATGGGGTCACAAAGAGTCAGACATGACTGAGCGACTTCACTTCACTTTTACCTGCCAGGGGAACAACTCAAAAGTCACCCAAACATACCTCCTTAGCCTGGCATGCTGTGATTCATGGGGTCACAAAGAGTCAGACATGACTGAGCGACTTCACTTCACTTTTACCTGCCAGGGGAACAACTCAAAAGTCACCCAAACATACCTCCTTGGCTCCAATACTGCAAGGACCTGACCCCTTAGGCTGAAGAAGGGAAGGAGGGGGAAGCCCCGCGAGCAGGAGCTTTTGGGGGAGACGTTACAGGGAAAGACCCAGAAGCATGCCTGCAGGACAGAGATGCGCCCTTTCGTCTGTTGAGAGCCATTATCTGAGTCAGGACTGACACAAAGGAAGCGGTGAAACACGTTAACTAATGTAATGCTGTGAGGGAGAGGTATGCCACCTGGTGAAATTTTGAGGCAAAGACTCAGAGGTGAGAAGGAAACAGCCTGATGAAGGATGTGGTGTAAGTGAATTCTTGCTACCTCCCACTGGCCGGACATCCTTGGACACGACCCTTGATCTGTCTATGCCTCAGCCTCTTCGGCACAATGGGAAACACAGAACCCAAGGTACAGGGCTTCCCTGGTGGCTCAGTGGTAGAGAATCCGCCTGCCAATGCAGGAGACCCGGGTTTGACCACTGATCCAGGGAGACCCCACTTGCCATGGAGCAACTAAGCCCGTTCGCTGTAACTACTGAGTCTGTGCTCTAGACTCTGGGAGCTGCAACTACCGAGCCCATGTGCCTAAGCTATTGAAGCCCATGCGCTCTAGAGCCTGTGCTCTGCAACAAGAGAAGCCCCCACAATGAGAAACCCACACACCGCAGTGAAGAGTATCCCCGGCTCAGGGCACCTGCAGGAAAGCTCATGCAGCGGTGAAGACCCAGCACAGTCAAAAATAAATAAATACTTACTCATATTTATTTCACTGCTGAGATCATGGCATCTGGTCCCATCACTTCATGGGAAATAAATGTGGAAACAGTGGAAACAGTGTCAGACTTTATTTTTTTTAGGCTCCAAAATCACTGCAGATGGTGACTGCAGCCATGAAATTAAAAGACGCTTACTCCTTGGAAGGAAAGTTATGACCAACCTAGACAGCATATTAAAAAGCAGAGACATTACTTTGCCAACAAAGGTCCGTCTAGTCAAGGCTATGGCTTTTTCAGTAGTCATGTATGAATGTGAGAGTTGGATGGTGAAGAAAGCTGAGCACCAAAGAACTGATGCTTTTGAACTGTGGTGTTGGAGAAGACTCTTGAGAGTCCCTTGGACTGCAAGAAGATCCAACCAGTCCATCCTAAAGATCAGTCCTGGGTGTTCATTGGAAGGACTGATGTTGAAGCTGAAACGCCAATACTTTGGCCACCTCATGCAAAGAGCTGACTCATTGGAAAAGACTAATGCTGGGAAGGATTGGGGGCAGGAGAAGAAAGGGACAACAGCCAGGATGAGATGGCTGGATGGCATCACCGACTCGATGGACATGAGTTTGGGTAGACTCCGGGAGTTGGTGATGGACAGGGAGGCCTGGCATGCTGTGATTCATGGGGTCACAAAGAGTCGGACACGACTGAGCGACTGAACTGATTTCACTGCTGAGGCAGTGAAATATTATAAATATTTATAAATAAAATACTTATTTTTAAAGAAGAAATAGATAACTCAAATACTGTTATATCCATTAAAAAAAAAACAGAATTGTGAACATCAAACGAGGTCATGCATGCAAAGCATTAAGCACCTGTTATAGAGTAGGTGGAGAAGGAAATGGCAACCCACTCCAGTATTCTTGCCTGGAGAATCCTGTGGACAGAGGAGCCTGATGGCCTGCCGTCTATGGGGTCGCACAGAGTCAGACACAACTGAAGTGACTTAGCAGCAGCAGCAGCGTACAGTGGGTGCTCAGTGAATGTTGGTTTTATCCCCACCCTATTCTCTGGCTGCCCCAGCTCTCAAGGTTGCCCTTTATTCCCACAGAGCATAGGTCAGCTCCAGGGAATGTCCACATCCCCCAGGTGACCACTGGTCCAGGTGTGAGATGACATCCCTCCCAGTGAAACCATGCAGGTAGAACATCCTCAGAGCCCAAAAGTGCGGATGGAGAGCCTTCAGGGACTTTGCCCAGGGAATCCGCCTGGAGGGCGAGACCGCTCTTGCTGCAGGGCCGTTTGCTGTGGGGGGACATGGGCTGTGACAGCACTGGGGCACCCAAGGGGAGCCGCTGGCCCAGGAGCGAGGGCTGAGACTGCAGAGGCGTGCGTGGGTGAGAACCCTGTGGATTTTCT